ATGTATCAGCACAGGATCAGCCGGCCGAAAGAAAGTTCTGTTCAGAGACGGTGATATCACGCATGCGCAGTATCTCCAGCTCATCGGTTCTCAGTATCGAACGTGTCCGAAAGAAACAGTTCTCGGTTCTGCACTAGTGATTCAAGAGCTGCAACAACCAGTTCTCGACTCGAGAACCATAGCATAGGCTTGTATGTGCTGAGCTGAAACCTGAATATACAGTCGACAAAACTAAAAAAATCGATGCATGTCTGTCTCTAATATAGCCTTCTGCAGCCTATGCAGTATACATCATGTTTATAATGTGTTAACATAACGAATTAAATGTTTAATTCGTTATGTTAACACATTATAAACATTTACTAAGCAGTGCACCATTAAAACCTTGGCAAGAGTTTACATTAAAGATTTATATTGTTACTTAGAAATTAAACGAGCTGTTTAATTTCTAAGCTGAAAATATTATTTTAGTCTAATAATAAATGTTTAGTAGTTTGACAGTTTTAGAATCCAATCATTGTTTCCAATCGTCAAAATAATACAGTGATAATACAATTATGTGATAAACATGGTTTCCAAAATGTTTTATTTTTGTTACACTTACTGATGTTCAACTAAAGACATGGAAACGTACATTTCGTCCCTCAGAAAAAAATGCACGCATGCTCAGCTCATCAACTCATCAGTTCTCAATATGTCGAACGTGTCCGAAAGAAACAGTTCTTCTCGGTTCTGTACTGGTTATCCGACCGATGTACGTACGTTCGGTAGTACACGCATGCGCAGTATCAGCTGCTCGTGCTCATCACTTCTCTCAGCACCAACATATGTCTCCGTTCAGTGAACTTTTTGAGTTACTGGAATAAAATGTACTTCTGGATATTGGTTTATTTCGATTCGGAGGGACTGTCAGGCATGTCTGAAAGTGAGTAACTTTAGTAACTTGTGGTTTAGCGCTGACGCAAGCAAGAGGTCCTCGCTGCAGTCTGTAGCACGATGACGTAGCTGGACGGTCCAATACGTGTTGGACCCTGTAACGCGCGCATGCGCACTAGTCAAGTCAAGTCATCTTGATTTATATATCGCTTTTAACAATTTAGATTGTTTCAAAGCAGCTTTAATTTAATGTAACAGATTGTTTTTGCTTTATAGCGGTTCATGAATAATGTTATTTTACAGCTAGTTAGTTTTGATTCTGTCGAAATGATAATTTGTTATTAAATTGGATGACACCGTTCTCTCTAAACAGACTTTAAACGCAATCCTGTGATAAACGCTGATGGCACATGCACATTAAGAATTCATAGGCCTAGTTAGTGTAGAGAGTTGGTGAACAATCGTTGATCTTCCAAGAATACATTTAAATATGGTCACGAGCGAAGCTCTTATTTNGGTAAAACACAATTTGCAGATCTCACTTAGACGTTTCAGCAAAACTCTGAACACATTCTTCATTCTCAAAACACATTCTGCACTCCAATGCAATATCATCCCATACTGGTAAACATAAGTGGCAACAATCAAATACAAAATAGGAGAACAAATGTCATTTGATTGAACACAACCACTCAAAACTGATTCAACCTGTTTCAAATGATGTGACACAACCAATATTAGCCAGTTCAGAGAGCAAACTGAACTGAGAGGTTGTTGAAGGTGGAAAGGAGAAAGTCTGAGAATGGATAGAAGAAACCTTGTGAGAGGACGAGGGTGTATACGAGGTTGGCGACGAGGAGGAGGAGGGCAAGAAAGAGATAGAGGAGGAAGAGGAGGGCAAGAAAGAGAAGGAGTCTGTCATGAAGGATCAAGGAAGCAATAGCAGCAAGGGACAATATTGCTTGTGATGTCGACGAAGTGCTCTGGCATGACCCAGGCCAAAGACAAGCAGCACATTCATCACATGGTTACTCCTTTTATTTGTGTCCCTTATTTTGTATATTTCGTATACTGTAGTACAGTGCACTGCTGTAGACTGTACAATGAAAAAATATGATTTTTTTACATGAAATTCATTTGTTTTGACCAGCCCGATCTCATGAAAGTTCGTGTCTATGGCACGAATGTCATTTCTCGTGGCATTTATACGCCAAAAACAGTTTTTGCGTGTATTTGGCACGCGATTTTCGCGTACATATGATACGCACTTTTTTTGCGTATAATACGCACGAACTCCCCACCCCCCTCCCCCCTAAACATAACCCAGGGTTTTTTAGTGCGTACCATATACACGAAAAAAACACTTTTGGCGTATAAATGCCACGAGAAATGACACTCGTGGTATAGATACGCATCTTCATGAGACTGTGTTGGTTTTGACATATAGTTCTCCCTGAGAACTATAGGTTTTGAACAATGTGTTTTAAATTGTTTGGTGTATTGTTTACTGACTGCTTGATAGTGCAGGGCCGTGGGAACTAGGGGTGCTGAGGGTGCTGCAGCACCCCCTGGCGACAGCTGTTTCACTACATTGAAATTTAATATGAAGTGACTTTAAATAACTTTGTTTTTCAACATGTTTTTTAAGAACACCTTCTACCTTTATAAAACGACTTTAACGATTATTTCATTTCCATATGTTGTCGAAGAGTTGTATAGAAATTAATATAGGCTGCCTATCATAAGGCAAAAGTCGATCTCGCATAGAGTGAGTGGCATGACACTGGTTGAGGTCCAGCATCTCAAAATTGATTTGACACTCATTTTATGCATGTGAAAAAACTAAATACAGATGTCTTGATTAAAGCATTCTTTGGCATTAAGGGCTGTTCACAAAGACCGAGTTTTTCCATTACCCTCTGCTACTGTTCCAAATGCTTTTCACTGTGAACGCGCACGCAACTGTCTCGCGAATAAAACCTCATTCTCAAAACGCGGCACTCAAGTTAAGTTCAACAAAAATGCACCTCGAGACCTTGCATTCCCTCAAATTCGCCTGTATGTGGTGTAATGGTAGTTAATGTAATGGTCAAGTCAAGTGGAAGAATTAGACTAACGTGCAAGAGTTTCTGAGTTCTATCCACACTCGCATAGTTATTTTTTCCCCCCTCATTAAAACCGATTATTTTTATCAGTTGTTGTCAAGCAGGGACATGACAAAATGTTTGAATGCATTTTACTTTGTGGTTTCACCGGTACGAATAGAGATTTCTCCGCAACTGATCAAGCTCGTGTCCGTGTGAAGATGTTCCTTGTGGCAGCGCGAGCCACAAGAGAACATCAGCACAGCACTGAGTCAACGAGTAGCCTACTTTGATCACTTGATTTTAAAAAATAACACATTTCAGCATGCTATTTCTCCTCTTATTTAACAAATGAATGTTCTGCTAGACTAGTTAACCGGATTTGTTTTATTTATTTGTATTGGTACATCCACGCCGCGAGATGTTTAAAAGTGCTGGGGACAATACCGACCCTGGCAAAAAGTGGTGGAGAAATTCCCAAATAATAATTATTAATAATTATGATAGTAGTAAAAGGTGTTTCTGGTTTGTTTGTTTTTTTTTTGTTTTGTTTTTTGCGTCAAAATATTTCTCAAACGGCAGTGCAAACCCCCTGATGACCCAATGCCCCTCCAGTAGATCTGCTCTGGCGCCGACTCTGTCAAGCCACGCCCATTAAGCCCCGCCCCCAGCACCCCCATGATAAAATATGTTCCCATGGCCATGTGATAGTGTATAGCATTTTGATCACTTTGTTTATGATTTGAGAGAAGTGTTTGAATTTGAACACAGGTAAAACTGTTTTGAGGCGAAAGTTTCATTTTGCAAGAGGAATCAGAGGTTTTGTAAATAGTGCTTGAAGATACGGTTTTGTGTTTAATGTTTTCAGAAAATGGAGCAATGTTTCAGAAATTGTGTTTTAGCAATTGAGAAAAACTGTAACCAGAGCAGACAACTTGAAGTCGTCTTGGGACTTTGGAATGTGACTCCAGTCTCTTTGGAGTGCTGAATCACATGTGGATGAATCCCATGAGAGATTAATTTTATTAATTTGTGTTTGGTTCACCTCAAAGTCGTTACATTAGTGCTGACGTGAATAATGAAGAGAATTTGCGATTCACATTTGCTTGCACTTTTAAATTTACTTTGATGTCAGGTGCTCTGGCTCCTGGCAAACATGTGACTATGGTGGTTGGTGTCTCTATTTTCAAATTCAGTGTAATAGAATCGCCAATAACTAGGGCACATTCAAACAGGATTCTCAGTGGGTGTTTCACTGAGAGGGGAGAACCTGTTCAGTGTTTGGACGGAAGAGCAGTGTTTTGTCCCTCAACTAGTGCGGCGTCTTATCGTCACCCAATTTCCCTGCTGCACGGGCTCTACTTTATCCGTTTATATATACATTTTATACATTAAATATAAAGCCTACTACTGATACAGCAAAGACAACGTTGGCAGTATAGACGTCAAAATAGGCTAGCTAGTCAATAGATTATTTCATTCTGTATTGACAGGTGCGATATTTAAAAATCGATAATTATTATTTATTTTCTCTTTAAATTATATTTATATCTGCATTCAAAACCTATAGACTTCCAAACATATAAATGTAATTTATTAATGTTTTCATGTCAAAATGACAAATCTGGTCCTATTCTATTTTGTCTGGAAACGCTTCCAACACGCTTGCGTGTCGCGTGAAAAATAGGTGTTGGTTCTATTTCTAGCATGCACGTGTTTTCGTGCTACACAGGCAGTGTACAAGCTCTAAACTGTTAACATGGGAGCCAAAAAAAAAAACAAAAAACGAACACACCATGCAGCCAGTGCGCTTATTTCAAATGCCTTTTGAAAAGACTACAATTATTCAGTCCACAAAAGGATATATAAAAATAGGATATAAAAAATATATTAATTTTTGTTACACTACTCTACCTGTCAAGTTATAAATGATTCAATTGTTGATAGACACAATTTTAAATCATTTGACATTTTTGTGATATCATACAGGGTTTTCTCACTTCTTTGATATAGTTTATTTAGAAATGGACATACAAACAATAATTTCCTTTTTCTTTAACCAGCAGAGGTTGGAAAAAGTCAGAAAAAGAACATGAATCAGTGCCAGTCTCCTGTTAAAAACGAAGTCAGAAGCAGCCAAACCATGGAACAAGACCACAGTTATGGAAAGGGAGTAAGTGTTGTAAATCTTATAAAGAACAACCAGAGCAAACAAGTAGAAGATGGAAGCAATGAAAACCTACCCATGTTTAAACTCAACCTGTCTGAAACATGGAAGAACAGTGATGGATTCTGCAGACGAAGCACATTTGGGAAAGAAAAAAATAAAGAGAACAAGACCATTATGATGATGGGAGCCACAGGTGCAGGAAAATCCACTCTAATTAACAGCATGATCAACTACATTCTGGGAGTGAAATGGGAAGATGACTTCCGGTTTGTGCTAATAGATGAAGGGAAGCAGAAATCTCAGGCTGAAAGTCAGACTTCAGAGATCACAGCATATCAAATCAATCACATGGATGGTTTCCGGGTTCCCTATTCTCTGACTATTGTGGACACACCAGGCTTCGGGGATACTAGAGGAATTACACATGACCAGAAAATCACAACGCAGATTCAGGAGTTCTTCTCTAATTCAGGAGGGATCGACCGCATCCATGCTGTGTGTTTTGTAGTACAGGCTTCGCTTGCCCGTTTAACACACACACAGAAATACGTCTTTGACTCCATTCTTTCCATATTTGGGAAGGATATTGCTGAAAACATCCTTGTGCTAGTCACCTTTGCAGATGGGAAAAAACCTCCTGTTCTCGAGGCCATAAAAGTGTCTGAGGTTCCCTGTTCTACCAATGAGTCTGGAGAGCCACTTCACTTCAAGTTCAACAACTCTGCTCTGTTTGCCACCAATAATGAATCTGCAGAGGATGAGGGGTCTGACTGTGACAACTTTGACCAAATGTTCTGGAAGCTGGGATTTTCTAGCATGAAGAAATTCTTCACATCCCTTATAATGATGGAAACCAAGAGCTTGTCTCTGACACGGGAGGTCCTAAAAGAGCGTCAGCATCTAGAAGTGTTGTTGGAAGGTCTCCAGCCTCAAATAAATGCTGGTCTGACAAAACTGAATGAAATCAAGAAGACAAGAGCTGCTCTGGACCAGCACAAGACTGAAATGGAGGCAAACAAGAATTTTGAATATGAATTAGAAGTGATTGTCCCAAAACAGATTGAAAACAAATCAAGCACCTTTTTGACCAACTGCCTAAAGTGTCACTTCACATGTCATGATGCATGCAAGTATGGAAATGACAGTGATAAAGAGAAGTGTTCTTCAATGACAGATGGAAAGTGCCGGGTCTGTCCTGGAAAGTGTGCCTGGAACGTGCACTCTAATCAGAAATACAAATGGGATTATGTCAAAGAAAAGAGAAAGGAAACCTATCAGGATTTAAAAAAGCGATTTGAGGATGCACATGGACAGGTCATGTCAACAAAAATAATCTTTAAAGAGCTTGAAAAGGAGCTCGAGGTTGTTCAGGATATTGTGGCAGTACTACTTGAAAAATCTCAAGAGTCCTTGGAGCGTCTGCAGGAAATTGCCCTGAAGCCCAATCCTCTGTCCACTCCTGACTACATTGATCTGATGATCGAGTCTGAGAAACAAGAAGCCAAGTCTGGATTTCAAGATCGCATTCAGTCTTTAATGGATGTCAGGAACAATGCAGAGATCATCAGTAATGTTTCCACAGGAGGAGTGCTTTCAAAGGTTGTGAAAGAACGCAAACGCACAAGAAGAAAAAAACTATCATCCTACAATCCAAGGGTCCTGTTCAGTAAAGCAAAACATTATGTTCAAGAAAAAGTCAGCTCTGCAATCAAGTAAAACTTTTGTCTAAAATTACTACAGCTATAAACAAAAACATTTGGTTAAGTGGTAATATAGTCTGCATGCATATTTATTATACTTAAAAATACTTTACCATAAAAATGTTCTTCAGCTTCATTCTTGTTTGATGTATAATACATACCTGTATGATTTTGACAGTTTGACAGTAACAGTTTGTATGATTTCTGTATGATTTTGCCTAACAGCTTGTTATATGAATGTTATGTATCACAAATCAGCAGATTGTATCGGAATGCTGTTTTGGAATGATGTAATTTTACTGTCATTGATGCAAGTCATTCATTTTGCGTGAATAAAAAATGTATATAAGAGTCTCAAGAGTCCTTGGAGCGTCTGCAGGAAATTGCCCTGAAGCCCAATCCTCTGTCCACTCCTGACTACATTGATCTGATGATAGAGTCTGAGAAACAAGAGGCCAAGTCTGGATTTCAAGATTGCATTCAGTCTTTAAAGGCACATTATGTACACATTTTTTTTTTTTTTTTAATACCACTTTTACATTTTCACGGTCTTGTCACGGCCTTGACGGTATTTGGTCTTGGTCTCGGACCTCTCGGTCTTGTCAAGGTCTCGCTGTCTCAGACCGACATAGTGGTCGGGGGATTTAGCAATACAATACTACAATATCCACGATGATATCCACAATGGATTGAAGTACGTGTCCACACGAGAAAACATTGTATCCGCGCCACTGATCGCAGCGGAAACGAGCACTTTGATCACTTGATTAAACCCTCTGGGGACCTTTTTAACTACTCCATAATTTCTGGTCATACAGAGTTAAGAAATATGAGAAAATAAACTGTTAAATGTCTACTTGTTTATGTGCTCACCTACAATCGAAATAAAATATTGTGCTTTTGCAAAATAAAGAAAATAAACAGGGTGTGCGTTTTGCCTCTCTGTCTCCGTGAACTTTTTTCTAGAGCATGTCTCTAAACTTAAACAAAACTCAGCGAATACTATTCACCCAGGCACGAGCAATATATGTTTATAATCATTTAAGTTTGTACTTTTTAATGATCTTATTTAAAACTAAAATAAATATTCACAATTTATGGCATTTATATAAAAAGAGAGAGGTATCAGCCGTACTAATTATCGTCCTCACATCTCATTATTCTGGTAATGTGACACGCCCATGGAGATCGTGCGCTATTCAAATGCAAATATCTGAAGCAACACATTGAGAGTGTACACACTATATTCAGTCACATTAATGTACTGTTGCACAGGCTGTGAGGAATAATCCTGGGACATTTACCTACCTCAGAACAAGTGCTAGTTTATTTTCATTTCGAGGAGGAGCAACAGATCCAGCTGAGAATTGTGTAAGTGTTCTATTCTTGTGCTTTGTTCTTATTGCGATATAGAATAACGTCAGTGTCTGTAAACGCACAAATAACATACGGTTTAACCCTCTGGGGTCTGAGGTGTTTTTGGGGCCCTTGAGATGTTTTGACATGCCCTGACATTTGTGCTTATTTCAGCTACTTAAAACATACCATTTGCCAACATATACTGTAAATTGACTGTATTCAGCACAAACTCTGCTCAATAATATGTGAGCAAACGGAATGTACATGTTTGCATTTTATAGAAAAAAATATTATGCGTGGTTAGTACATTTTGGGAAAATAAATATCACAAGTGAGAAATAAGAAATAGGTATATATAAAAAAAAAAAAAATAATAATAATAATAAAAATAATAATAAAAAAATAAATAAGAAATAGGTATATCTAGGCCAGTTACTCACTGTCAAGCATTTTTTAGACTGGTGTCTCTCATGGCAGCTGTGTCCAACGTAGTTACTTTTGGCCTTTTGTACATGAGAACCATGCAGTGATGGCTCAGGACCAAGGGGTTTTCTCCGAGGAGAAAACGTTTCGCATGATCAAGGTCACGCGGCTTTGCCTTCGTGCTTCGGTCATGTCGAAGAACCTTGGTCCCTCACCCAAGCCCAGTTTGGGGGCTTCTTGTCGACGCATAATGCTATCGACGGATGCTTCCCTCACAAGATGGGGGTGATCATGAGTGGTCGCTCGGCGAATGGTACTTGGCAGGACCATCTACCTTTTAGCACATAATTGGCTAAAAGTGATGGCGGTATTCCCGAAAATCTCAATACTTCATGCCAGACCCTAGAGGTCACTATGTGTTTGTCCTTTCGGATAAAACACTGATGGTCTCGTATATCAGAGCAGATATCCTGTTGAGGCAGGGGCTTAGGCCCAGGGAATGGAGATCGAGGTGGTGGAGCTTCTTAGGGAGAACTAAAGTCAAACTAAAGTCAGTCGACATTTCACATCGTTGGTACAACGCATTGCTCTATTTGGTTCTCCCTCACACATCCAGCTCTGCTTGGACTGGATGTGATGTATTAGGTGTGGTTAACACTACACCGGTATGCATTTCCTGATATCTTTGCTCCTGGGAGTTCACCCTCATTTGGAGTTTGGATACTGTGGCTTGGCCACTTAGGGGGCCCGGCTCAAAGAATCCTGTCTCTCGACTGAGGTCGTTGGGACCATTCTCCAATCCAGAGCTCCTTCCACGAGATAAACTATGCATTAAAATGGAAATTATTCTCCATCTGGTGTGGGGAACATCACCAAGATCCTGTTAACTGCCCTGTTGGTACAGTTCTTGATTTCTTGCAAGACCGTTTCTCTGCTGGATTATCTCCTGCTACCTTAAAGGTTTACGTGGTGGCTATATCGGCCTACCATACCCCTCTGGGGGGTACTTCTATCGGGAATGATCCTCTAATTACTAGTTTTTCTCGGTGGTACATCAGGTTGAAACCTGCACTGCACTCAGAGCACCGGCTTGGGATTTGGCCATTGTACTTGAGGGTCTGGCTTTGGCTCCCTTTGAGCCCATTGAAGAGGTTTCAGAAAAGTTCCTCACTTTGAAAACATTTCTCCTTGCTGTTTCATTTACCGGAGATTTGCATGCCCTGTCGGTTGCCATCTTTAATTTATATAAAGAGTGCTTCATATTCTCTTTTAATCTCTCTTTCTCTCTCTCTCTCTCTCTCTCTCTCTCTCTCTCTATATATATATATATATATATATATTTATATACCCTACTATATATATGTACACCCTACAGATGTCTTGAAATTGCTTACATTAGCAAAATGGTATAAAAAAAAGCATAATTGTCAAGTGAATGAGAACTACAATGAGTTTTAAATTCATTATTTAAAATTAAAGATATTTAAATTGTTAAATGTTATAAATCTAGATGTTTATTTAAATGCTGCGTGCCTTTTGACGGTTTTGGGCGTACGTGCGCGTATAAACATTGAGTCGCAAAAGCTATCTGACTCAAAGACAGGAACGCGCGCGAGCACGAGCAGATGGAAACCATGGAAACGAGGAAACCTCATCAACTGACAAACAGCAAGACTAGCGTCTCTCACTGTTGTTTTCTCTGCTTTCAGGTAAGTTTAGTTACCAAAATCACTCAAATAATACATATAAACATTCCGGACACCTTTCTTACGTGTAATTGATACACTTCTGTTGAATATTTACATTATAGAAATGGTTTTGTGTCTTCGGAAAAAAGACCGTTAGCATCTCTGTTTTCAGAAGAGCTAACTTAGCACTAAGTTAACGTTAAGTTAAGTTTACGTTACAATTGAGCTCTTGTTTTACATAAGTTTGGGTTTTTAACCACATTTTTGTGTTGGTAACAGTTTTTGATAGTTTTGTTTTGCTGGTAATTTGTCAGTGGGTGGGAAGTAAGCTAATTTATTTAACCTGAAATAATTCATTGTAACGTACTGTTAATGCAGCCCATTCTCACTCCCAAGGCGTCACCTAACTGACGCCTTGGGAAGCATTTGGACATGCTTCAATATCTGACGCTTTAGGTGCCCTTTACCGTCAGTAAGATGACGCCCTAGTATCGCGTGTACCCTACCCCCACCCCACACCTAAACCTAACCGCGTCCTCTAACTGACGCTTTCCTTTAGCGTCAGTTAGATGACGCCGTAGGATCGCGTCTTGTAAGTGACGCTAAAGGGCGCCTAAAACGTCAAATATTGAAGCATGGTCAAAGGTGACGCCTTGGGGTGAGAATGCGTTGGTTAATGACGTCACTTACAAAGATTGATAATAAGTGATTTGAGGAGGAACAGAAAAAAACCCTCCACAACAAAGGGGGAATTATTGTTTATCATGATAATAATTTGCATTTATTGCACAATATATTACCTTAAGATTTTTTATATTCTTTATCTTTTTTGCATTTCATCTCTGCTCTAGCTTGCTTCCTTGTAATAAACCATTTGTCCTATTGTAAATTCTATGTAACATTGTTGGCTCTGTGACACATTGCATGTTATTTTCTAGAAGATCATCTGATTGCCTGCTGCACCCCCTGTCCAAGACAATCTCCACGGCTATGAACTCGACTAGTAAGCAAAACTTCAAACATCCACACTCAGTACATAAGGAAGGTGAGTTTCACAATAGCTGCCACTATCACAAACCAAACCGAAACACAACAGGCCTTCATCCATATGAACTCACCCATGCGTAGGGATAGGTTCCGAAACCCTGTATTAAACATTAAACGGGGGCCAAATTAAGGAAGACCGCAGTATCAATAAGCTCAGATGTTATCGGTTCTGCTGACGGTTCTGAAGAAATTACACACACTATTATAGACATTGTCTTGCAAATTCTGTGAGGATTAGGAGGGGTGTTTTAAACAGTCTTCATACAACATGTGTTTTTCAGGCTGGTTGTTTGTCATTTTGTAGGGAGAGGCTGTACCTCAGTAAAGACTTATTTTCCATTCGATAATTCAATTTCCGTACCTGATAAGTTAGATTTTCCTAAAAAAAAAAACATCATGCACTGCTTATTTCAATTGTATTTTTCTTCTTTTGAATTTATCTATGCTTGTAATTTGTTTATAATTTTCAATGCAGATTCACTCTAAATAAATAATCTCTTGAAATTTGTTTTTATATCGCGATATATATAGCAGTAGATAAACAAAATATTTTATTTAAGCCGTAATATTGAGCATTTAACCTAACTCTAATTTTTTATTGAACCTGGAATGATAATTTGTGATACCAGATGAGATGTATGCTTGATAGATTTTGAACTGTACTTTTTTTTATTGCAGGTTTTCTGGGATCCACAGCGGAAGGGATCAAGGCATGAGATGTTGGCTTGGACAGATGTACCTGTACACCACACCGACCTCTGCTTTTGCATGGATGGCTGATTACTATCATGTTCTGTATAAGTTTTATAATAGCAAAACAGAGCACCTGTGACAGTGGAATCTGTAGGTGTAAAGTAGTCAGACATCAGTACATTTAAAGTCACAGAGAGAAAGTTTTTTTTTTTTTTATAGAAGTTTTAAAGTTTTTTGACACCATTATACACCAAGAAATGTGCATAATTGGCCAAAGTGTTACTGTTTATCAACAAAAATTTGACAAAAAACAACAACAAAAAACAAATATTATAGCATGTGAATATACAGTATAGTAGTGTAATTTATTCCTGTGTAAAATATTTTATAATGTAACACTGAAGACTGGATTAATGATTCTGAAAATTCAGCTTTGCATCACAGGATTAAATTATATTTTAAAGTATATTAAAATAGAAAATCATTATTTTAATTTTTTTACATTACATTTATTTACCTTACCTTATTTTAATTATATTCATATAAAACCTTAATTTAAATGTTTGTAAACCTGTTTGCACACTGGTTTTGCTGTTGTTTGTGCTTTGTTCTATAGTAAATGAAATTAATTAACCAAATTCTGAGTCTGTATCTTTCGTATGTCCTTGAAAAGTATCCAAAATAGTTTTGGGCAAATGAGGACAAGTTAAATTAGACCACTGCTTGTCCGCCCATATTAATTAAAACTAAAATGACCAACTGGTTACCAACACACGACTATTGATCCATGACGTTGCCACAACGTCGCAGTTACTTGCTGACGACGTTACAAAGTTACGTCGCCATGACGAAAGTTTGGTCACCAGATTAAGGCCAATTTATACTTTTGCGTAGGGTGCGCGCAGTAGGTACGGCGTAGCATACGCACAGACGCGTCCCATACCGCGTACCCTTCGCCGTCGCCTGACGCGCACCTCCTCAAAAATGTAACTACATAGCAAACAGATCCGGAACGGATCTGCCGCGGAGGTAAGAACAAGGTCCGGAACGGAGTCCACTTGCACAGCGCAACGGATCCGGAACAGATCCGGATTGCGGATCCAGACTAGATCCGCGGCAGACCTTATCCGGATCCGATCTGGACCCGTTCATTTCGGTCTGAAAACCTTTCAGATCACTCATTCAAAACTAGTAATCTGGCCAAAACTACAAAAATATTTCAAATCTATTGGTGGGCCAACATTAGATAGACTGCCCACTAAACAACATGATGTCCAAAAGATGTCTTTTCAACGTCTGTGTCACAAAAGTCGGATGCTGAAAAGACGTCCACAGAGGAGCCAGAATTAAAGTTTTTATGACGTCTTTTTTTGACGTGTTCTGCACGTCCGATATAGACGTTCATTGAACCTTCGTACACGTTTAAAAACTAGGTCAAATGTTGGCCATTGAGTTTAAAACTCATTTTTAAATCAATGTCATTTCCTTACATTGTTTAGATGAGGTTTAGATGTTATGTTTCATTTTAAGAAACAATTGTGGTGATGAGTGTTTGCTTTAGTTGGGCTCTTGATCCCAATTCTTCTTACTTTAACTTTACTTTGGTTGTAGTAACTGTGTGATTGTATAACACTATTGTTGTTGCACAGAAAGCCAAGAAAAAGTGAGATGCTGGCATCAGCTTGTTGATGATGATTGTTAAGTCACAAAGTGAGCATTTGATGTCGTGTTTAGACTTTAGTCTTTATTTCTGCCATTTATAACCACCTATCTTGTGGAACTGTGTTATTTGTATACCATTAAAATTAGCACTTATTTGAAGGTGAATAAAAAAAAGCTTGTTTAAACAATGTTATTAGGAAATTTACCTTATAGTCACACACAGAAATCAAGATTTTGCGTATGTATCACAAGAACGGTGACAATAAAAAAAGCTTCATGCTGCAATGCATGATGGGTAGTTTTCAAAGTACAAAACATCCTTGATTCCCAAGCTTTTTTGTTTTGGTTGTCACCGTTGTTGACAATCATATGCAAAATCGTGATGTCTGTGTGTGACTATGTGATATATTTGCTCAAAACATTGAGTACACATGATTTTTATTGACCTTCAAATAAGCGATCATTTTAATGGTACTGGTCCAAATAACACAGTTCCACAAAATAGGTGGTTATAAACAGCAGATATAAGGACAAAAGTCTACACACATCATTAAAAGATCACTTTGTGTTTATGTCATCATCAACAAGGAGCCGATGACAGACGATTTTACTTTTTCTTGGCTTTCTATGCACCAACAATAGTGTTATACAAACACACAGTTACAACAACCAAAGAGAAGTTAAAGTAAGAAGAATTGGGACCAAGAGCCCAACTAAAGCAAACACTCATCACCACAATGGTGACTTAAAATGAAACATATCAACATCTAAACCTCATCTAAACAATGTAAGGAAATGACATTGATATAAACATGAATTTTAAACACGATGGCCACATTTGACCTAGTTTTTAAACGTGTACGAAGGTTCGATGAACGTCTATATCGGACGTGCAGAACACGTCAAAAAAACACGTCATAAAAACTTTAATTCTGGCTCCTCAGTGGACGTCTTTTCAGCATCCGACTTTTGTGACAAAGACGTTGAAAAGACATCTTTTGGACATCATGTTGTTTAGTGGGCAGTCTATCTAATGTTGGCCCACCAATAGATTTGAAATATTTTTTGTAGTTTTGGCCAGATTACTAGTTTTGAATGAGTGATCTGAAAGGTTTTCAGACCAAAATGAACGGGTCCAGATCGGATCCGGATAGGGTCTGCCTCGGATCTAGTCGGATCTGTTCCGGATCCGTTGCGCTGTGCAAGTGGACTACGTTCCGGACATTGTTCTTACCTCCGCAGCAGATCCGTTAAACAGATCCATTTACCATTTACCATAAAGTAAAGTTTTTATACATTTAATAGTATATAAATCTACCCTAAACATACTAATGTCTGCTGGCCTGTTATAGGATCATAATAATCTGTACAATATTGTGAGCACAGTGTATATCGTTAGCGAACGTGTATAGCCTACTATAAGCATGTCTCTCACCTAAAAGGCACCTGTCCTCTTCTCCACTGGTTCTCCTCACATCACAGCTCAATTTTTCTCTGACCATTCTGTCTGACATTATCCTGGCCTGTCCCTGATCTCTTTAGCATAGCAGGCTCATAACTTTATGGCTTGATCCATCATACGAGTATTTCCTGAAATGTCATGCGATCCATTGTTTTCCTGTTGTGTGAATCGACGGCTCTCCCGCTCATTGCGTCACGCCCGCCACGCCCATTTTCAGACGCGGAAGTAAAATTTTCTCACAAAAACGACTGCAGAGGCTTCTGTAGCGTGTTTATACGTATATTTTAAAGAAAATCTAGTTCCTACATTGTTTTTCTATGCATTGACTCATTGGGTCTTGGCTGCAATATGCCCATTAAGTATGTGTTCTGAGTCTGTCATACCACATAAAAATGTGTTATTAGCCACCCAGCCAAATTTGAAAGATAAAAAACGCCGGGAAGTACATAAAATAAGCTATCAAAATCATGAAAAAATGATCAGATTCTCTGCTCTCAAACGCTGGGGGCGTGTCCGCTGGCTGCGCTGAAACCACGCCCACTCACAGGAAAGCTATTGACGGTGATATTAGCTGATTAGCTTTTGGAGACGGGAGGATGAACACTGAGGCGGGAGATCGTCGTTTCGGCCCCGTTCACCAGTAACAGCGGATTATCAGTGAATCCAAGTTGTCTCTGAGGAAAGTTTATAAAACGATCCAGTGTAAAACGATCACTACAGAGGCGGGTGTTGGGGGTGATCCTCAGCTTTTCATCAGCAAGGTTGGCTCTCTAAAAACCTCTTCTTGATGTGATCGTTTTTAGGGGAATTTAAATGAAGATACCGATCTGTTTTGTACATGATCGCATCCAGGTAGTAGCCCATGCATGTCCGTGTCGAAGGCATAGCTAGCTAGAAAACTGTAGGCTCAGCTGTAGTAACTAATAGTACTGACAGTCACTCGCGATTGAGCGGTGAATGCGAATGTGCTCGGGGAGTGTGTGTGGAGAGAGGGAGATCAGACTCTGTGCTTCATCAAATAGGGGGGTGTCCAGCAGCTCATGGGCTCCAGTGCATCATCGAGCCCTGTTTTAGCCCCGCCTAATTAATCCGTAAAATGGTGAAAAAACTGTTTAACGGTCTAACTCCTGTGGTGGAAAATTTTAAACTGAATATTAAGCTAACCATGTTTCGACATTTGACCTCATTTAACCAGCCAAATCTCTGATACAATGTCCTGAGATGAATGTATGTGTGTCAAACACCTGACTGTGTATAAATAACAAATATGGGAAATGGAACTTGACAGATGACTAAGTTAGAAACATTAAAACAAAGTCTCCTCTACCCAGTAACAAAACAGTCTACCTATGAAGAACCAATGAAATTAATGTCATTATGGCATGCCTCCATATTGTATAAAAACTGTTGTATCAGTGTTTTCGGGGGGATTCTCAATGGAATTTGTCTGAGATCCACCAGCCTTGTTTTTACTTGGGAAGTTCTCTGAGTATTGCTCGAGAACTCTCCTGGCCGTAATTAAAAGCATTGAAAGGACATTTGCTGGAGTCTGTCTGTTATTTAAGCTGCGCAGCAAGAACAAGTAAGTTAGAATTATTAGCACCCGGCGGACGTCGACTGTAGATGCGCCAGGGTTATAGGATTAGAACCCGGCGGACGTCGACTGGAGATGCGCTAGGGTAGAGGGTAGGTTTAATTGACTCAGCGGACGTCGATGTGTAGATGCGCTGGTAAAAGTATAAGACTTGGCCAACTAGAGTGAGCATTATTGTAGAGTAGTCAGGTTCAGGGAAAAAAAATCCATTACAATTTTGGCGGGCCATCCAGGAGTCCTCGGAATCTCCCTCTGTCGGATGGACAGGGACGAGGAACCATGTAACTGTCATGTCCATGCATGAGGTTGTCTTCACTCTGCCGGACTGCAGAACCCTGTTCGACAGAGGGACATATTCCAGTCGGGCTAAAAGAACTAAATTAAGGTAGGATGACGGACCTCAGCACTTTTCCTTTTAAAAATGCTTCTAAATTAATTAAATTAATTAAAAGATTTAACTGAAATTTGGCTTTTCTGTTAAGTGAAATTTTGAAAAGAATTAGGATATAAATTGTGTTTTTTACCTTAGCTATTAAGAGCAATGATTTTGGTTAAATTCAATTCAAATTGATATTTGTTGAGTATTTTATTTGTTGTGTTTGAGAGTGCTTCCAGAAAGCTGTCAATGTCAATGCTTCCCGCAAATAGC